GGACTCAAAATAAGCTCTAAATCACTATCCAATAAAAGAAAATTATTGAGTTGGATATCTAAAGTTACTACCCAGAGGCTACTCTGGTACGGTATTTATAAATCTCTAAACAGTTAGGCATAATTGTCTTTCTGGGTTTTGGGAAGAAAGCCAAATAGCAGCTTTAGTTACAACTGAAGATAAATATTTTGTGTCGAGCCACATTCATCTGGTGGATAAAATAACAAGTAAAACCCCCACAAAGCAGGACTCTAAGAAAAAAAACAAGAAACGTGAAAAACTAAATGGCAATAGTCAATAGATGATACTTGAAGAAGAAAGGATGGAAATGTCAAGAAAATGAAGGAAAGGAAAATTACTGGAGGTCTCCCAACTTAACAGCCAAGGCAGAACCCATCACATATCCAGTCCTCCTGGGTGCTTTGGAAAAATGCTATGACTGATGGGCACATGTTATGACTATGGATCTATTATTCTCTGGTCTGGTATCCAAAATACTTCTTGATGAAATAATCTTAATTTCTGTTTGAGAGAACAGAATGAGAAACAGAAAGGACAATAAAAACCTGGGGATGACTTTTTTCTCCAACACAAACACCTCTTTACATATCTTTCTAGGAAGACAGTCAAGATCTGTAAGAGGTAATAAAGACAAACACAGGGCTTCCTGGTCAAAAATAAGGTTGAGTTTATAAAAAAATTTTGTGAAGAGGTGGGCCAAGTTCTCACTTTACAGCATTTTGTACTTCAAAATCTGAGATATCTTAATGAAACAATAGTTTGCTGCAGCTTCAGCAGGATACACTTTGGCCTTTCTGTCCTTGGAATCTAGGTTCTAGGTCTCCCAAAGGCAATGAACTGCCCAGATGATTTCCAAAAGCTCATTTTCAGGACATTAGAGTCTGCAGCCCTAACCTCTAGCAAGCCTACAGAGCTGCCCAGTCAGCTTTGAAACGATCAATGCAGACAGCCCTGAGACACACTTTCAACATGAGAACTTCGAACAGCACAGGTTTGATTTGAAAGAACTTCTTGTTCTTTTTGAGTAGGAGTACACATTTTATGTAAAGGAGACCAAAAATTCCTTTCAGAACTGTTAGTAAGCTTTTCTTCCTAAGGAAAACAGGTTGCTTGCACACACAGTTCTGTGTAGCCATGCATTTGGTCGTATGTTGCCAGACAGCTGATGATGAACATAGATTTGACAACTTAGATAGTTTACTGCCATCCCCTCTGGATATGCTAGGTCATTTGTAGCTCTGGTCCAGATTATTATTTTTTTCCAGTGGCTTGGAACTCTGACTTGGATTTTTCTTCTGTGGAAGGTCAAGACAGAGCACTGTGCTTGAATGAGATACAGTTCTGGCAGGATCAGTTATGACCCAAGACAGGCAAGCCAGAGCACAAAAATGTTGCTGCACTACTTATAGAAGGTCCAGATAATTACTGTTAATCAGTTAAAAAACCTGGGGATATTATAACACCATAAGGAAGTACTATCAAGTCTGTTTCTGTATGAAAATGGTTGTGTGTGTTTTAAGTTCATCTTGCACTAGTAGTGAGAAAATCCTTTGTTGATGCAAACCAGATTAATTCTGAGCTGATTTTTCAGCAGTAAACTTAATCCATTTGGAATTGCTAGCCCTATTGTTACAGAAATTTCCCTTTCATGAAAGTATGCTGTCATGTGTCCATCCACCTGTTCCTTCTACAAGGTCCTTCCTCTCAGCTTGCTCCTGGGTTCCATTTCAAAGATACATCCCTTGCTGGAAAGGGCATGTTTGGATGGATACAGAGATACATTTTTAAGTGCCTAGGACTGAGAGTGACTTTGGTGTTAAAGCAGGTGATGAGGATGAAACTCTAGGAAAAAGGGAATGAAATCCCAAAATGTTTGGATGCTCCTCCAGCTACCAACTTAAAGCAAAGGAGTTACAGATATAGCCCTGTACTTCAACACTTGCCAACGATGATGGCTTATCTGATGGTTAAATAAACTGGCATCCTGGTTTTATGGCACCCTTATTGTACTGGTGTCATCTTTTGCCTAAAACTGGAATGAAACAATCACATATACAAACTAGAAAGATCCTTATATATTCAATAACTTATCAATTAAACGACTGTATTTTTTTCAGAAATGTAAACATTAATTATATATCAGGGTTTTATGAGATTCCACTGCTTACTGACTACATAACTATACATATATAATATTATTTATTTACCCAGAATAGCAAGGGTAAGGTCATACTGCTAAGTCCCTCACCAAAAATCTTGCAGCTCACCCCATACATTTCCTAGACTGCTCACATATTTTATTTCTTCTCTTTTCAACACCCTATCACAGGTCAACTGACCTTCTGCCACACCTCCGTATTTTGTAATGTCAGTGTTTCTGATGATCAATAACAGAAGTAACATAAAAGAATAACACAGAAGATCCAGGCATGATGTTGATGAGGATGTCTTAATTCAAAATCATGCATTAAGATTTAGAAAGACTCAGACTGGCAATACTGCAAGTTTGTACCAGCCAATGTGTTAAGTATGTCAAGCAATACACAAATGTAAAATGACATCTTGATCTATAAATAAAGGTACTTAATTGCCAGTAAGAATCTGTGAGTTTGCTCTAATACACTGCTTGTTGACCAGCAAAAGTTGAATCACCTACTTTATGTAATTGTCATGATAGTTGTGTCCACCATATGTTAAAACTGCATTTCAGAGACAAAAATGTCACATTGCATATAATTTCCAGTAAAGTTTGTGCTTTCTACTGATCTAACTGCTTCTGACAGTCTAAACATTTTATTCAAGGTCTTTCATGAAAATTTCTGGTATTGAAAGGAACAGAACCAATTCAGGAGTTTTGGATTTCATAAACAGAGAATTTACTGTGAAGATAATAGTTTTCTGAAGCAAACGGGCTTGCAAGAACCTCTCCTTGTTTAGTGCTCCCATTTAAAATAGGCTGCTGGTTACCTGCCTTATGCTATGCCCTGTTTCCCCAGAACAGCTATGGAAAGAGTCACCTTTTAACATGCAATCTGGTATTTACCTGAAGAAATGTCAAAAATTTCTAAGAATGTGCTCACCTATTGTTCCTCTGTTTCTCTGCATCAGCAACATTTAAAAGGGCTAAAGGGATTTGGACTATGGCCAGTGTACACTTCCTGACCTACAGGGGCTATTGCTGTAGCAGCAACCTGGGTATTAGAGAGTCACAGAACAATTCAGTCTGGAAAGGACATTGGAGGGTGTCTGGTCTTATTTCCTGCTCTAAGCAGGGTCAACTATGAGGTCAGGTCAGCTTCTTTGAGCTTTATGCAGTCAGGTCTTGAATGCCTCCAAGGATGGAGAGTAAAAAATGACAGGTGTTCATGTGGTGCACAAGAGTGGATATTGACAGGTTTCTCTATCCTCACTGAGGGATGGCGTGACCCTGTGTACTCCCAGAGGTAAAATACAACAGCCAAGTGCTGGAAATGTCTCTAACTTCTGAGCAAAGATAGAAAATTCTCTCAGACTGTTTGTGCTCAAGAAGAGATTCTTCATTATTTTAATTATGTGTGTGGTACAAGACTGAGAGAGATTCATCAAATAGCCATTAGCCTGGTAGTGGAAGTACAGATTTAGTTTTGAGATACAGAATTTCAGATCCCAGGGCTAAACCAGCATAGCAAGGAACCTCTATGCCTGTTTTCCACTTCTGCAATGAGTTTCCTAATCATGACTACAAGCTGTTAGAGTGTGAGGAAAGAACTCTAAAATATTTGGGGTTGTGTTATTTCCAGACCACAGATTTGAAACTTTCAATACTCATGGGATTGAAAACAATCTGTTTCTTCCTTTTCTTCTCTAGATCTACTTCTTATCCAGAAAACTGTCCAATTTGACTTTGGAAAGTTCAAACTTTTAGCTTCCTGGTACAATTTAATTCCAGTATTAAATTCCACTATTTTATTGCTGATTCTAAGAAAGAATTTTCTATGTTCAAGTTTCTATATTCAAGAAGTAACAGTGCAACCTCTGATTTTTGGCATATAATTCCTACTTCCTGATTACAGTGTAAAGAGGAAAATCTGAACTTAATCTTAGTTCTCACAGTCCTTGAGGGAATACTATCTCTAGATCAGGCTCACAGGGAAACTGCAGACCAAAGCACAATCCTTTCCACCTACATTTACAGCAGAACTAGATCCAGAGGGAATATTTACTGCTGCAGTTTATAGGTTTATCAAAGGTAGGACTTCAGCTGCATAAGCTGCAAGACCCTTCAGGGATGGGAAGATGATTGTGTTTACACTGATGGTCTTTGCCAGGGTTCTTATGACTGCTTTGCACAGGCACAGATGGTGTAAAATAGCCTTTGGCAACCCTTGAATCAGTCCCCTACTCTCAGAAAAGATTGAAAGATTTTGTTCAATGTTCTTAAATGGGATGAGTACATGTCAAACCATGGGAAGAAATCAGTTTTGAGTTAATTCTCTGTGGCTTCTTGAGCAAGAAGGTGCCAAAGCTGTAAAGAAAATTAAAAGTTCTTGTTCTTTTTAATTTTACTTTTTGGCTTGTGTTATTAAAACTTGTATTTTCTATGTAGTTTCAATGTGTTTTACATAAGAAGAAATTTTGTTAGACAGAATTCAGGTATTCCAAAGAATAACTGCAAGTTATCACCGGTTATAGTACAGCAACTCACCCTGAAAAGGAAGCCGCAGTGAGAAAACTATGTTTTTACACATTATCTGGGAAAATTTTAAAATGAGAAAAAATGCCAGTTTCATGTTCATTCATTTTTCCTCTGAAAGATGTGCTCTGTGATGTAGCAGAGAAACTACGTGACTGTCCCTTTAAAAGCCATCATACCAATCAGCAGGTTTAACTGTCAAGCAAGCTGATGTAGGGCTCTTTGAATTACTGAGTGAGGGATATTCTTCCTGCCAGGTCCTGTCCCCTGTAGGCACTGCAGAGAAGTATTATAGGGCAGTCCTTACCTTGGGAATTAGCCTGCAAGACCCCAATGCTGTCATCAAACTGCATAGATTTGATGTTGAGTGACGCCAAGATGCATTCCTTGTCCTGCAGCGAAGCATCATCAATATTATTCTGATTGGCTGACAGGATAACGCACATGTCGCAGAGGTTGATGTTGACAGCCCTTAAATCAGCCCGACTTAATGGCGTACCCTTCGGCACAGGGAGAAAGAAAGGGGGGTGCAGAAGAGGAGAAAAAAGAAAAACAAATTAAAGATTGAGAAGGAGCTTTGGGAAATTATTTAACAAGTATCTTTTTTATGCTCTGACATTAAGCTGGTCTAACTATGTGCCAGGGAATAGGAGATGTGTGCTAATCTAAAGGGTAGTTGGTGCTGATGGCAGCATTTTAGGTTCAGTCTCAATACTCAGTCAAGCTATTACTAACAAACAAGAAACAGGAATAATGCCAGCATTCTACATCTCATCGGTGACTTGAAATTGTCTTGATTTAAGCTGCTATCATGTGGCAACCTCTGGCTCTCTGAATATAACAAGGGGGGGTGTTTTAAATGTCTATTTATCTACTACCAAATCACAATGGTCTTGGGCAAAAGAACAGCAATTTAAACAGGAAAGCATTACGTGTCCTGCACATTTGAAATGCAATCAGGACAAAGCTATTTTTTTCTACCTAAAGCAATACACAGAAAAGGTTAATCCTTTTCGAAGCACGCTTTTGGTGCTTCTAGAAGGAAAACACACTGAGCTTCAAAGCTGTGTGATTAAACCCTTCGAAACAGAAACAGGACTTTATCCTAATGGGCACAGCTTGTGCAACATTCCCTGTTCCACAATCCTCAATCAGAGAATCATTAAAATGAAATGCTGTGGTAGCCTGTGGATTATTTTCATAGTTAACAAAGCTGAGATATGACACTTAACATGGTATTTTTTGTTTAAAATGACACTTGCCTTTCACATTCAACAGCCCACAACTGCAGTTACAGAATATTAAGTCTACGTCACAGGGGCTGCGAGGTCCAGGAAATACACACCATTTTTTTTAATGGAAACTAGATTGTGCTCTTCTGCCTCACATGGCTGGGTACCCAAAGACCCCGATGATGAGGAGACATAACTGTCCCAGTGTCATGCAGTGACTTTCATAAAATCAAGTCAAGACCCTAGTGTTTCATCTCCTGATCATTCATTGCAAATATCTCCTGAACTCCACTGAGAGTGCTCAATGCAAAAGTGAAATTAAAATGCACACAGTGAAGGAAGAGCTCAATTCTTATTCAGTGTTTGCCAGCTTAATTATTCCATGTAATTTTCAATAATTTGAGGCATGAAACCTTGTGAAAAACAGTATGTATCAAACAGATATGATTTCATTATAAACTGCTCCGAAGTTAGAATATGATTATTCCAGCCACCCTAATCCTGCCCTTTGCGCCTGTGCTGTGCACCAAGTGAAGCAGGGTTCCTGTGGGGAAAAATAATATGCAATCATGTAATTAATTAAAGGCTCACTCCTAATGATTTTATGCAAAGGGACAGAATTAAGGCTGCCTGAGGATATTTAAAATTGGCATTTGCCTACTTTTTAAGAGTTTACTCAGCAGCTTAAAGGCATCATTTAATACAGACCTTAAATTCCACTTTTGCTTTTTTAAAAAACAGAACAAATGTTTTCATATTCAGCTGTAACCACATCTACATCAGATATCAGCAGCAAGTTTTACCTCGTGAACCAAAGCACAGAGAATTATGAAAGTTGCCTCCCTTTAACAGGTTTCTACAAGTATAACCTCAGACACTTAAAATTTTAAAACAGACATTTTAAAATTAGTATAATTAGATCAGAAAATTGCTGCTGTTTTAACTTTATATCACCATTTTGAACCAGATAGGCTGGAAAAAAATGGAAGCAACAGGAATGAAGTCTGTGTGGCCTTCAGCACCCTTGATTACTATGTCAGATACAATTCCTTTATAAAATTCTGTATTTTTAAAGCTGCATCAACTAACTATTTAAGCTGTTTAAGTCAAAATTAATCTAAAGCTATTCTGCATTTTGGCGTAAACTGGGGAAAGTAAAGATCACGTTCATTTCTTTTATGCCTCTTTAGAATTCAGAATCAAAACTTTGCAAAACGACATTATAATAATGGATAAACATTATATATTGGCAACAGTGGCAGGATTCTATTCTGCTTGATAGTTCAACAGTATTATCAATTTAATTCTGATTCTGTAGTCTTTAGCCTTCACAGTGACTGGAATTAAAAGGAATAGGCAGAAAGAGGAGGATATTAACTGACCAAATCTGATATTGACACCATTTTTGTGACAGCAGAGAATCTTGTGACACCATCTGTTGGATCAGGTTACAGAAAAATGCCAAGGGCTAACACTAAAACTGCATTTACAGTAACAAAGACCTACAGTCTGAATTAATCAAGAAGCAAAGACAGTCCTTTCCTTCTATAGCTATTTTCCCAATTATTCACTTGAGGTTACTTACGTCCATCATTGATTTATTTATTTTTAACTGCTGAAATAAAATTACTAAGAACAAGTAAACTTATAATTTTTCATTATCTTCTAAACTAACTTTGCTATATAACATGCTGAGCATTTTCTTTCACTTATACCATGGGCTCCCACGTGTCATTTATAGCTATGGTCACGTAAGATCACCATCTAGGAGGGCTTAATTTGATAGTCCTGGAGCTCTGGATTCTACATTTTGGTCATATGAGTGAATCATAATGATCTATAGGAGAAAAAGGACCTTGGCAGTTTTAGTGGCTGTGTCTACTAAGATCAATAGGATCTTTTCATTGATTTCAAAAGGGTCAGGGTTTTGCTGTACTTTCATACAGGACTCAACTGAAATGCCAGGGCAGAGTTCCTTATAAAGCAGGCCAGTCCACAGCAAGTCTTTATGAATACATATAAATATTACGTAGACAGAGTAACAATAATTTTTTCAAAGGTTTTGTGGGTATAAAACCATAAATAATATCATAAATAACTACTATCATTCTGTCAGGGAACTCACAACATCAGAACCAGCTCCATGCAGGGCACTACAGTGGATGTTCAATACATAACACAGCTAATACATCTGATAGCAGCTGAAATTCAGCCGATGAGGATGATGAGGAACCAAACACTGCAGCAAATATCTTCTAATAAGGTCTCACAGGGCTCTGTTTTCATAGACACAGTAAAGGGAAAATCTAAGTCCTCAGGCCTATAAGTAGACAAAAGTAAAAAAGCCTAAGATCAAAGTCAATACGAATCTGTCCAGCTGGTGTCCTAAATAACAAAGTATCAATAATATGGCTTTTGAACTTACAGGCAAGATTGAAACCTTGGGGAAGTTATGCAGTGTCTCCCATTCCCTTCTCAGGTATTCAAGTGAACCCACAAACACAATGTGCTTGAGTTCATGGTAGTGAAAGTTGCTGGCTCGTAATGGCATCACTAAATTTCTTAATCCAATCAAAGCAGATTTAACATCCCCAAATATGCAAACGACTACATGCCCACTTAAAACTGTCATCGCTGCTTCACTTCGAGTCTAAAAAAAAAACAAACAAAACAAAACAAAAAGACAAGGGAAAAATGAAACAAAGGGAATCTCAAATCATATATTGAGTTTAAAACCAGGAAAAATACAACTGTCAATATTGTTCATGCACAAAGAAGCAGTTTGATAACAGCTATTCATTTTACCCTTATTTATATTTCATTAAATGTGCTCAGTAGAAAAAAAAAGTTCTAGTTTGCAAATCCTTCAGCATTTGGTAAGACATTGTACTGGACCAAATTCTGGTCCTGTGCAAGTTTCTATACATGTGGATTGTGATCTGGTTACAAAGTACTGTGGGTTAAGGTAAGGATTACAGAAAATAGATGCAAAATCACACCCTAGTTAACAAATTAGTAGATAGGTTTTTTTCAACACTGATGTGAAAAGGAAGATGTTGAGTGTCTAGTGTTCCTAGTAGGGCTCTGTGATATTACTCAGATCTTGTGTGTTGAGGACCATAATCTCTTGGAGTCAAAGCTCTTATTTAAGGATAAGCTGCTGTTTCCCTGAGAAGCAATCCATGAATGCCCTACACTGCTCTGCTTTACAGTGGATCACCACTATATGCCACAGAGCTTCTCTCAGTAACAAAATAAAATTGCAAGTTTGTGACTAGTACTGAATTTTCAGGCCAATTGGACTTACTGAGGAAAAGGTCTCATGGAAAATATTTAAACGGTGTCCAGAATTATCTTCTTGTCTCAGTGAAAGAATAAAATTTTGCACTAATTTCAGCATTGTTTAGTTCAGTTGAGCAGGCAACTCAAACACCAAGACGATTAAATAAAGCCACATGGAAAAAATTACCTTCATTTCTGGAGCCAGTCTTGGCATTGTAGTGCTCTGTCAAGTAGCTGGAGAACCACTGATACCATATTGCCAAGAAATTGTACACTCTCTACCATTACACACAAGTTTTGCCAATGAACAAAACTAAACCAGTGCTGATCTACAAAATTTTCCTCTCACTTATCCACAGAATATGTCATTTTTCTAAATTACAGAAGCATGGTGGTGTGCAATTAAGATTGGAATATGCAGCAGATATGCTCATTACGTCAAAAGAATGGGAACTCTGATTAGAAGTTTTCTCATCAGTTGAAAAATGCATGAGCTTTCAATTTCTCCAGAGCACTGATTTTTATACAGCTTGACCAAGAGAGTCGTCTTGGCCCTCCAAACAGCAGAAGACATGAGTGAATCCTCAAGTGAAGCATCATTCACATGCCTGTGCCTATGAATCTGGAATACTTGGACTTTACAAGACAGAGACCAAGTCTTGAAAGCAGGTATTAAAAAATGTCACTCCATAAATCTGTATGTAGTAGCCACATATGGCAAAAATCCCTTCTTACTACCTGATACTTCAGGAATGTCACAGAGCCAAAACAGACCTTGGGCAGAAAAATTAATTCTTTTCTGATTGGGACATCATCAAGTATCAATTAGAAGACAACCTGGGAAATCTCATCATCTTCAAATTATGCACTAATTTGTACTTGTGTGGTCTCTAAGGACAGCATTAAATTTGCATAGATATGAATGTAGACATAAATTGTGGACTGTGAGTTTGAAAAGGTGTAGGGAAGCATTTTGCTGGCAGGGTCTTTATTGGTGATGATGCGTGAAGCAGAAAGAACCGGGGCAGACTTGCAGATTCACAGGCTGGTAGTGGAAAAAAAATAACATGGCCTAACCTAGAGATGAGGATTGAGTCACTCCCAAGTACCATTTGTGGGGGAACACTTTTCAAAGTTGGGCAACATGTAGTTTGTCAGCTAAAATGTGTTTGTACCACAAAGGAAGATTTTTATCTCTATTACGAAGTGCTGTACAGCAGGGCTAACCCTTCTTGCTTGCTGATTACAAATAAATGATACTATTTAAAGCTGTTCAGGCAAACTCAATCTCAAAGCTCCATCTCCAAAATTTGGAATTTACTTGCTTGACTATTTAAACACTGATATTGCAATTCCAGGCATTGTCAGAGTTATTACAGAAACCCCTGAGGAGAACTGGAGACAAGCTTTTAACCCCTGATTGCTAGAATAACTGGGGCTGTCATCATCGTTGGCTACACCATGCCACAGTGCAGGAAAATCTAAGAGAGCAGACTCGGGAAAAGCTTTATGAAGTGCGACAAAGTGAAGATCCACCAGGGAGTTCATTTCAAGTATAATCAGTTTTGCGTGTGAGATCTGGGGTTAGTTACTTGCTACTCTTAGGTATAAGTACATGAACACAAGTGGCATAAACTTTCAAAATAGACTGTGATAGGCCTCCTAATTATTTTTAATTACTTGAGTCAGCTTGATGGTTTTCCCAGTTAAAGGAATGAAACAAACATAGACAGGGCTCACTGCAACATGCTAGAGTCAGAGTAGGAACATTACTTGCTCTGGCCTATTTGGGCATCTTGAAATATTGGGAATCAAGAGAGAAGTTCTAAGAGAGCATAGTTAATAAAAAATCAATTACAATAATTAAAAAAACATCAATAAATAAGAGGTAAGTCAAAACAACACTTGCCTATGTTAGAATCATTACTGCCTTGTGTAAAGAGAAAAATGGGCTATGTAAGCATTCAAGTATTTCTAATCTTAATTCTCTATAAGGATTTAAACCAAATACGTAAAATTCAGTTTATGAAAAAGAAATTCCCTATACTGGATGATCTTTATTGCTGCACTGGGCATAAAGATTTATGTAATCAAAATGGTTTAACCAAAATCCTAGATTTGATTTCATCACTCTTGCTCCTGATTTCAACACAGTGGATTTTGTGACAGTAGATACTAACTTATTTATCTGTTAGACATTACTTCTATGGTTTAAATAACCTCTTTTCAAACCCAACTTATCATCAATACCTACCAAAATGACCTTTTCAATGTCTTTGGCTGGACACCAATGAAACATCCCTGTAGAATCGTATTTTTTCACGTTGGCATCCATATTGTCAATCTGCTCGTTGCCAGGAATTAACAAGGGGTCATGCCTGGGGAAAAACAAGTTGAGGACAGCATAAATGGAAAATACTATGAATTATGGATGGAAAGATATCCCAAGAGCTGTGTACAAAGAGAGACAAAAGTAAAAAAATAAAATGTATTTACACTTTAACATGCTTTCAATAAGGACATTTTTAAACAAAAGTGGCATACCAAAAAAAAATTAAACTTTAAATGTTGGGTGCAGTTTCAATGACTTTCTATCCTATTCTATGCCAATAATCATTTAATTTTAAATAGGGTTTTCTGACACCATCACATCCGTCCAAGTTTTTTTCTTTCCAGTCCCACCCCTCTGAAATAAATATTGAAGTTCCTATAGGCATCTGCAATGAAGTAGAAGGGATAGGAACAGAGCCCCATGCTGACTGACTGGCATAAGTATGGAAAGCCAATTACTTGCTTTTACCACATACAACTTCTGACGTGATGCTCTTCACAGTAAAAGCTTTAACAGGCTGCACTTTAAATATTTTAGCAATTTGCCCAATCATATTTTGCTTTCCCAAACTGAAGCCCTTTAAAGATTCAACAGTATGTCATTTTAGAGCAGACTGACTAACAAATGCCCACATCTGGAATACATGATTTTAATACCAAACAACAATGTCCATTTTCTCTGAAAACTCTACCTGTGATAACCTTCTAAGTGTTTCTGCTTCTCAAGGCTTCTCAAAGAAGAAGCAAATAAAAGATATTTTACAAACTTTCTCTCCAGCTATATAGCTATATCTAAGCACAGACACAGAATTCTTTAATTTATATGCTAAAATCAAGCATGAAACTAAGCACTAAGTGATTTCAACACTCACATGCTGGTGAAGACCCCTAAGTGACTGCATTATGCAATAGCATTAGCAGAATTGTATTCACAAGGTACAGGGTAAACTAACCCTAAAATCTTATATTTAGCATGATTTAATAGTGCTTTCTCTGGAAAGCTACAGTCTTTACCTCAGGTTTTTGTCATGAATGCTTGAAATATCTTGATATAGAATCGTAACATTTCAAAGAAGAAAATATTTGCAATGTAATACTATGCTAAGTGCTCTGAGACAGGTATCCAAATTTTAAAGCAGTTTGCCCTTTGAAGCCTGATAAAGAAATGCCCATATTGTCTGAACTCTTAAAACAGGAAAGTTTCCTGCTTTTAAAGCATTTGAATAAGCAGGCTATGGTGAGATCCTCTCTTCTGCATGGACTGCTAAAGCAGACTGTGAACATAGTGTGTGATATAGGTTAATTTACCTTGAATATGGTATGCTACGTTACCATGCAATCAACAGTTGCATTCCTATGAAAAGTATAATCCTAAATCCAGTCAGGGTGATCAATTAGTGTGATCTCACAGCCACTGACTGCAGATCCATTGAAATCAGTGGAAAATTCTCATGCATTGACAGAGTCAACTCCAAAGAAAGTGCCTCAAAAAAAGTTGAGAAATTATTAATACAATGTTCCATTTAAACCAGAATCTTCTGATGCCTTAAGACAATCAATGTCCTACATGGCAAAGACATAAGTAAGACTCATCTGGAAAAAAGAAACACTATGTTTTCAAAGTTTTTTAACTCTCTCAGTAGAGATACAGTTCAGTGATTTCACTGTAACCCATTGGCACCAGGGAAGCCCTAGAGGACTACCTGGAGTTTCTGATCCTACTCCAAGCTGAATAATGACAGGCCTTGCCTAAGTGTGTTCCCTCTTTCATAGGAAGCAGAGATGAAAAAGCTGTATCAAAGGGATTTGTTGCAGGGGCTTGGTTGTTGTTTTATTGGCTTTTTTTTAATTTCTAGAAAAATATACAAACTCTGCATTCTCTTCCATCCATCAGCAAGACACAGCCTTGGTAGTTTTGTCTGAAAGCTGACATGCCACTCACTGGGCATTCCCCATCTGCTCAGAGTTGCAGGTGGTACAGTAAGATCTGCAGCCATGAACACACTTCAGTTTGAAGGTTGTACTAATGCTCAGACTACATTTAGTGATGCTCTGCCCCAGCTATTTTTCTAACGGAATGTGTTAGCTATACGCTTCAAATTAAGAAAGTTTGCCAAAAGATTAAGAATCTTCAGGAGTTTCCACTGAGGAATGTTTTTCTTTCTATTGTTTCAGGGTTAGGGTTTTTTCTCCCAATACTTCAACACAACATTTCTTTACTGTTTTTTTTTTAGAGGAGCTCTGAAAATTTCACTTTACAAAAGCAAAGTTCATCAGTCAAATCACCTTCTTTTCCTTTCAGAAATCAAGCACATATAAGAAGGAATTTTCTTTTCCCCCTATCCTTCACCAGATGAACTATAATAAATCAGTTTTTGAACAATGCCATATTCTTGTTTTGTAATCAGTGTTTCCTTTCTGCTCTGAGATTTAAAATTAAATAAATGATCTGAAGCTTTAACACAAATGACTATTTAGCAATACTCTAATCCCAGACACAAAAATGATTCACAGAAATGATACAAATTGAAAGGAATATTATAACAAAGCAGGTGGTATCAGATATCTGACATCCAATTACGGTCAACTGCCTTGAAGTTTGAGGCAGTTTTAAGAGTGTGAGTGCTTAAAGCCTAGCATAGTTCTTTTGGGCTTTGCATCCTGACAGGGAACATTCAAAGTAGCTTCTTCCAAAGGTTTATTAGAATATTTTAGGCTTAAACATAAGTTGGTTTTGGGGAAGAACAAAGCATGTGAATAATCAGATATAACCCCCTGTTGAAGTTTTAGGCAACAAATTGTCAAATGGTGATTTTTTTTTTTTTGGTTTTTTTTTTTTTTTTTTTTTTTTTTGGTTGGCTTTTTTTTTATCAATACATGCATTTATTTGCAGTATCATAAACTGTTTAGACTCAGCTTTATTGCTTGGAGTATAGTAAGTGGGAACCTTAAAGGAGGCAAAAAGGATGGGGCACATAACATGAAAGCATGCTAGGAGATATTATTTTACTACTTTTACTCCAGGATAATGGATTATTGCCTGAGAGGGACTCTGATATGACTAGCCACATTCTATTTCACAATATGTGGGGTTATTCATGTAAGTGTGTTTATTAAAATTAAATCTCCTGGGGTAAGATATTATTTTAGTTTCTCTTTAATCAATGTTCTTTCACTCTCAGTAAAGTGATCCCTGAAGCTGTCTCTGGACCTTGGAAACTCTTTGCTACTTAGGTCCAACTTTGTCCTCAGATTTTACCTTACATATTTAAAAACTGAATTGATCAGAAGAGTTATAAAACAGTATTACTACTTTGGACATACACACCCTCATTAATCTGATGATCCAAACTTGTTTTGCAAATACTAAAAATTAATTAAGATAGACACACAGAGAGGCCAAAGCTGTCAAATCTGCCTAAGGCATTTGGTCACCCTCTTCCCATCAAAATTTGTATTACACGAAGCATTACAGTTGTTGCCCTTACAGCCAAATCATGGACTGAATGTTTCTAGAGCCTCTCTTTGCCTCCTCATCCTTGAAGATGGCCTTGTCAAGCTGTGCTTGAGTCACATTGGCAGGTTACTGCAGAATGCTTATATTCACACTGCAGTCATTATCTTCTCCAGGCTGCAAAGTCCTCTGATTCAAGAATTCAAATCATAGGAAGAAAAGCACTTTCTGTCAATTAAACCCCTAGTACTTGTTTTAATTGAGATGTTGGTTTTTATGACTTGCAATGACCAAAGCAATTGGCCCTTCTGGCTAGGAAAAGACATGTATAGCCTGTATGGAAGGAAAGGAACAGAAGTTAAATTTCCTCATCCATAACCCCAGTTTAAAAATAGCATCTCTGGTTCTTATGGCAGATATTACATACGCATGACTTAAAATGAAGAGCAAAATACCATCTTTTCAAGGTTTTGAAGAGCCTATAATGCCACTCATGTGCAATTAAACTTGAAAACGATGCTAAATGCCAAGCTACAGCTGCAAACCCAAAAAGCCTGCCTGGAAGACAACAGCCTAAAGCAAAACCATAAATCCCACTTACAGCAACCTACTGCAAGGAAGTCAACATTACATTTTAACGAGTACTGCTTCCCTAGCACACATTTATAACTGCTGCAAAATCTGAGATTTTGAGTCTGAAACTTTTGGTTACTCACTGAGGATGGACAGAACTGAAAAGACCATTCAGGACTAAAGGGCTTCCTTATTAAATAGCTATTGTTAAACATACCCTTGTATCATGTCACCCTTGTCTTATGCCATTATACACATGCAATTGAGAACTAGAGCAACATACCCTCCCTGGCCTGCAGTGGAACTACTCCGTGTGCTGAGCACTGGGAACAAGCATGCTGTGTGACCAGCAGGGAGGACCCTGGGCTTGCCTGAAAATAAACTGCAATCTCTTAGTCTTTACACATTAGTAAGGCAATGTCTTCCCTAGTTTTTATTCTGTCCTCCAATAAAATTCAACGCAAACCACACCTGATAAAAACACTACTCCTCTTTAACCTGTGTCTGTTTGGGTCTGCAATTGTGCTTTTCTCGGGTAGACATATCTGGATTTTATGTACAAAAAGATGTTCAGCAATCTCCTGCACAAGATTCAGGGTCTTTAGAGACACCCTGCCTGTGGCTGAGGAATTTTGAGTTTTCCTACCTGACTTAGGGGTTTGTGGTTATGTCTTAGCAAGTCTATGCACACAGATGCTTCATTTTAGGAGGAAGGAGTGCATTTGCTGAAGGTAAAGGAGGAATTGAAGACATGCTAAAGAACGTCTCATGCCTTCAAAATTTCTCCTACAACTACCCTAACAAATTGTGGCAATTAACATGCTGTTAGTGTTAGATGTGTGCAGCCAGTGCAGGTGCTAATAATTGAAAAAGCATTTAGAGCTTTTACACCCTGGCTGAATATTTCATGATGTGCTGCATGTTTCACTATTTACTCAGTGGGCCTCTGTCACTTCAATCTTCTCTGACTGCTTTGACTGGTGCTATAAAGCTCAACCAAGACGGAGTGACGGCTTGTCA